TGGACACCCCTGGTCTAGTCTAATGAAAAGAAGGACCAGGGGTGACAGGAGAGCAGCCTTCCAGTATTTGAGGGGCTGCCCCAAAGAAGAGGTGGTCAAGCTATTCTCCAAAGCACCTGAAGGCCAGACAAGGAATAACGGATGGAAACTAACCAACTAGAAGAGATGTGTAAGATTAAAATAGAATACAGACCTGAATTTTTCTTGTTAGGAAGTAATGTGGGAAAATAAGACAAAGATATTATATATCTAATAATTCATGTAATCACAGCTTGCAAGATTGGCTTATGCACAACTGTGGAAATGTAAAGAAACTCCAAGTGAAATAGAAATAATTAAGAAAATTTGGATGTGCACAGAAGTAAAAAATAAGGATGAATTGGATTATTGCAAAGTATGGGATAAATTTTATTGCTGGTTAGAAAAGAGGAAGGATCAAGAAAATGGGAAATGATTATATTATATACTATGTATATAGAATGCAAATACGTACTATTTTTTTATATGACTTAGCGATGTAAGACAACTATGTGGGTTAGGATGATTGCACCAGGTCCATTGTTTTTAATGTTCTTTCCTTTCTTTTTTGTGTTTGTTCAATTACATTTTAAAAAAGAAAAACTAATCAAGGAGAGAAACAAACTAGGAACTTAGGAGGAATTTCCTGACAGTGAGAACAATTAACCTATGGAACAATTTGCCTCCAGAAGTTGTAAATGCTCCAACACTGGAAGTTTTTAAGAAGAGATTGGATAACCATTTGTCTGAAGTGGTGTAAGGTTTCCTGTCTGAGCAGGGGGTTGGACTAGAAGACCTCCAAGGTCCCTTCCAACTCTGTTATTCTGTTACTTAACTGGCTTACTTGCCTAAGGCAAAGTTAAATCTCAGATTTCCTGGCTCTTAGTCCAGCCCTTAAACCAAGTCGACCAACTGGCTCCCAAACAATCACACAATACTGCAGAAGTTAATAAAATAAATCCAAAATTGGCATCCCATCCACGTGGATCTACATTCTTCCTTTTTTTGTGTGCATGCACATGCAATGAAAGAGAGAAAAACAAACCCAAATTATTACGTAGATTGTAATAACCCGACTTCTCTTGGTTTCTCAATATTGCGATTTCTACTAACTGCTTAAAAGAAGACATGCACAGCGCAGGAGTTTCGTTTCTATTATGTACATTAAATTCATTTCATTCTGAGAACGAGGAGCAGCCTGGGATTATTTTGGAAAAGAAAACCTTCTCAACAGAAGGTAAGGAAGACTTCAGAGTGCTCTTCTAGCCAGGCTGATAATATTGAAAAACAAATATACAAACAAGCGTACAAGAAATACGAGGAAAGACGTAACCTCCCTAGTGAAATCAAATAATCATGGATTGAGATTTGATAAAAACTGACTCAGATTAACCTAAGATTTTATTCACTTTCAGAAATAAAGTCCTTTCTCTCTCGTTATTCTACATTCTGCAAAATTATTGATGGGAGGCAACCAAATTGTTTGGTTAATTTGTAAGGTACCAAATTAAATTATTTTATAGAAGTTGTGGGAGCTACGTCAGCTTTCAAGAAGAGACTGGACTGCCATCTGTCAAAAATGGGGTAAGGTCTGCTTGGGTGGGGGGGTTGGACTAAATGACCTACAAGGTCCCTTCCAACTCTGTTCATCTGTAATATACCATAAGTTGATGACTCGCTGACCTTTCCTTGGTCCATACATATTGCTAAAAAAAAAAATGAGGTGACAAAATTGAACAACTTCAATGTTGGGTTTTTCACCTCCTGGAAAAAGCAACTGCTTGGAATATCTGGAGGCTCATAAAAAACTTTGTAACATTACTTTCACACGGAGCTATTTTCTTTTCCCCCCATGTGGCCGAGCGCTGAAAAAAGACCAAGAGACATTCCACAGCTCTGCCAAATATTATATTTTGCGCCGGGAAAAGACCACAGGGAATTGATTCGATTCCGTGAAATCACCAAAATGCCAGAACAGTTGCAACGATCTACAAACAAATATATACATATATACACACACATATATATACTGTATATACACACACACACGTTTTCCCCAAAATACAACCTACCCTGAAAGTAAGTCCTAGCCTGATTTTTACACGTGCACCCAATATAGGTCCTATCCCCCCAAATAAGCCCTAATTAAGATCCCGCCCACTTGTTTCGCTCCTTCTCCAAGAAGCTTCTTTACTCAGAACTGAAAAATCTTCTTGGATGAGAAGCAAAACGTCTTCAATGAAAAACGATCAAGAAAATCCAGTTGCTTCTTGAAAAAGCACCTTTGAAACAACCATGGCCCGGATAATTGAGAATCTCCATAGCAGGGGTGGGATGCTACCGGTTCCGCCTGGCTCTGTGGAACTGGTACCTCTGAAGAGCAGCAGACACCAAACCGGTTCTGTGTCTGCTGCTGGCCCACCCACCTGCCCGGGCTCTTACCTGTCCTTTATTTCCTGCTTTTTCAACCTCAGCTGCTTTGCGTGGCACAGCTGAGGCAAAATGTAATCACCGAACCCGTAGTAACACCCGGTTGAATCCCACCCTTGCTCCATAGACAACAGCGATCACGTTAACTCTTGGAGAGCATCATGGAACATCTGAACTGAAAAGGTGTGTGGAACACGGGTGTGACAATGATTTCATAACACTACCTTGTCCCCCCCAAACTGCAAAAAAAAAGGGGGGGAGGGGAAAAGATAGATAGGAATCCTGAACATTTTACTTCAATCCCTTGTCTGTTTGGCATAGCATTTGGCTATCATTTCTTCCTAGTCTCCAGCTGATGGTTGAACAAGGTCAACTGATGTCACAAGGATGTTGCTAAGTTTAATTGTTTCTATTTATAATCCTACTATTTCTAGAAGAAGTTGCAAGTATGGCTTAGACCAGCCCTTCTCAATGAAATACATCAACCTGAACTTCTAGAAGTTCATCCTTCTAGGATTATGGAGACATGATAGCAGTATACCAATATCTCAGGGGCTTCCACAAAGAAGACGGAGTTAAGCTACTCTCCAAAGCACCAGAAGGCAGGACAAGAAGAAAATGGAAACTCATCAAGGAGAGAAGCAACCTAGTAGTAAGGAGAAATTTTCTGACCGTGAGAACCATTAACCAGTGGAACAATTTGCCTCCAGAACTTGTGAATGCTCCAACACTGGAAGTTTTAAAGAAGAGATTGGACAGCCATTTGTCTGAAATTGGTGTAGGGTTTCCTGCCTAAGGATGGGGTTGGACTAGAAGATCTCCAAGGTCCCTTCCAACTCTGTTATTCTCTTCTATCCTATCCACGGCCTTGCTTCCTGAAGATGGTGGAATTGCAACCCACGGGAGGATGAGAAAAAGCCGGCTGAGATGACCTTCTCTTCCGAACGTGTCCTGATAATTTCAAAATCTCAAGTAGTTTGGAATAAAATATCCCCAAATTGCAAACCCTCACTATTGAGAATAACCATGTTACCATGAGAACAGCGTCTTACGCAAGGAACCGATTTAGCCAGATTCATGGTTAAGCGTATCATGATAACCTTAACAGCGTAATTCCAATTTTTTAGGTTCACATTGATGGCCTTGGCTTGATGGTCATTAAAATATGGCGGCCGCGGCTTGGTATATTATGTGAATACTGCTTAGGTGCAATGCAGGAAGTCCCTGACTTACAACACTTCATTTAGAGGCTTACAACACTTCATTTAGAGTTACAGCGATATTGAAAAAAGTGCCTTATGAGTTAGGACCGTTTTTCACACTTACGACCATTGCTGCATTCCCATGCACACATGACCACAATTCAGATGCTCAGCAGCTGTCTCATATTTACGACAGTTGCAGTGTGCCAGGATCCCATGATCCCCTTTTGTGACCTTCTGACAACCAAGGAGAAGCTGTTCTGACTGAAGCTTCCTGAGATCATGAAGCTGACTCCTTGTCCCGATAAAACCCCTTTTATTTAAGTTAAAGGGAATTCCTCTCCAGCCAAGTCCCGGCCAACAGTCTTTCTTGAGATTGCACAACTGTAGACCTTTCTCAGGCTTGGAGAGTTGCCAGGCCGATATCTTCCAAATGCCACTCTGTAGCAGACAATACTTGGCAAGAAGTCAGGAACAGATCTTCACACTAATTAGATGAACTAATTGTCTCCTGCAACCACCCCTCTCCTTTCGCTCTTTTTTATTTCCTATGGGAGGGGCCATTCACCATCCACCTGTGCCCTTACTCCCAAGTTGATCCTTGTTCCTTAGCTGTTCTCTTCTCCTGGCAGCTCTGTGCATGTGTAAACTGGGAACAGGCTCCAGCTGTCCTTCTTCCTCACTGATGTCCAACTCCAAAGGCAGCTGAAAACTGTCAGACAGCCCTGGCCCCATCTCTGTTTCCGACACAGACCCCTCATCCAAGCCTTCCCGAGACTCCAGGACTGACCCATGTTCCTCCTCAACCTCCTCACTGTCCGAGTCTGAACAACTGTCGTTAAATGGAACAAAGTTCACTTAACAAATGTTTCACTTGGTAACAGGGTTTGGGCTCAACTGCAGTTATAAATCAAGGACTATCTATATTCTTGGTTATTATTTCTTCTCCATCAGCCTGGCCCTATTCAGAGGCCTGAAGTCAGCAAATTTCTATCCGATGGGAGATTCTAAAAAAAAAAATATACTTCTTGGAATGATTTGCAAGGTTTAAGATTCATGATCGACCTGCACTACACTCCTAAAGCAATCCTTGTCTGATCCAGTTTGGATTAAATAGCCAACTTCCAGTTGCTCTTAACTGGGAGATGAATGTAACTGGGATGATCCTGGGGTCTCCCAGAAGGGAATCTAACCTGGCTGGATCCTTGTTCTTTTTTTTTTTTTTATACCTTACATAACCATGTTTACGCAAGACAGAAACCGAGATAGCCACATGTGGGACAGTGATCAATTTTGGGGGGAGGACAAACGGTTTGACTTTGTAGCTTTTGCTTCTCACGCACTCAGGGACTAACTCTGGAAAAATATGCCCGGAGCTCAAAAAGCCCGGATAACCAACAGGAAAGCATACTTGATTAACAGGAAGGTGTAATTTACACCCTTGAAAGAGATCCCGGCGAACTTTCCAGATAACGGCGTGATTCATCTGAGGTTAAATCTGCTCTGGTTTACTCTGCTAAACAACTCATTCCCAGAACCCTGTTGCTTGTTTCTTTACAACTTATACTGTTTTATTTAGTTTCCTAGTATGATTTCGATTGCTTATTTAGTATCCTATGACTATCACTAAGTGTTCTATCTTATGATTCTTGATGAATGTAGTTTTTATGTACACACAAGGAATTTGTCTTTGCTTATGCGTCAAAGACAAATTCCTTGTGCGTCCACAATCATGCTTGGACAATAAAGACTTTCTATTCTATTCCTATTCCTATTCCTATTCTATTCTATTCTTTTCCTTATTATATTATATTCTCTTCCAATGTTCTATTCCAATACATTATTCCAATTATTCTATTCTATTCTATTCTATTCTATTCTATTCTATTCTATTCTATTCCATTCTTTTCCTTATTCTA